AACAGTTACATCCTGTTGTCACACAGAGAATTTTGTCTCGCTCTTGTGCGGAACATGCTGGAAAGGGTCCACTTCGCCCTCAACGGCCCAGGGGTCGAACGCCTGCCATTTCATCGGGGTCATTTCGAATAGAGGAGGCCAAACAACAGCACTGGCCGACTTCCTCTACTTCGAAATTGAGGTGTCGAGTGTCCTCTTCGCGTGGGAAACGAAGAACCATCCAAATAAAGTGCGTGAAGTGTGATGTGGGACTCTGCATTTCCGGATGTTTCCAAGATTTCCACACAAAGCCAACATTCCGTTAGACGACGCAGGTGGGAAGAGAGACAACTTATAAAGCTGGTGACCAAAAATCATGTAAGTAGAAAAAGAATTTATAACTTAAAATTAGATTTTAAAAAGCCGGCCGCACGCGTGGACTGCGCGACGACATATGGCGTCATTCGTCCCCTTGACTTTATTTTCATGACGCCATATGGCGTCGCTCGGCTCTTAAAGGTTAAGCAAGCTGGTGTTTTTAAATTTTTAACTACATGCAGTGTAACAGCTACGTGAGAGTATACACCTGATGATGGCCATTTACGGCCGAAACATGTAATGTAGAAGAAAAGAAGACAAAAGAACTACAATAAATTGTTGAACTTAGGACGGAGTTTGTGTCATATACTTTTACATGGTGATCTTTTGGTATTGTATTCTGGTAGGTGGTTGCCAACATTTTAGGAGAAACTACTGTGTCCACCTTCATACTGTGAATTCAGATGAAGGCATTAGGTTCCTAATGCTGGACCCAGCAGTCAGCTACATGATGTCACAGCCCAGAAGACCACAGTCTAATTCTTCACCACTGTGAGAACCTCCAATCTCATATATATACGCACTTCCTTCACTGCTGTTATTGGAGCTTCATCCGTTTGCAGGAAACGAATCGCATCCACACTGATGATATCTTAAAATATCTGTCATGTCGTAGAGCCATTAAACCACAACGAAATGCATCAGCATACAATGGAGAAATAACACCGAGGTTCTGCACGTGGTATAGCCATTCCATAACCTCAAAGAGAAAACATATATCATGCATTATTATATACAATACAATGAAGGAATATGTGTATGAAACATCAGATTATCCATTCAATCTCTATCTGTGGAACATACAGTCTGTTAGCTGTGATGAATGTGTTGTAAAATGATTGAAAGCAAAATGTTTTGATGTACTTTATAAGTTGTAAAAATAACAACAGAAGAAATTCTGTATAGACATTTTACATCAATTAAAATATATTGTAATACAAACTTTTAATTTCTTATTTGCTGCAAAATATCCAGTCATTAACCTGTCTAGGTTTCTCCTCATCCATATAAGTGGAATACATTGCTCTTCTTATTGCATTATTTTTAACGATAATGAAGTTATGCAATGTAAGATGACTGTGATGAATCAGAAGAGTGGTGGAAGAGAGTGGTCACAGCCTACTGCAGTTCTGTTAGGCACTTGACAAATATTACGAGTTTAAGCAGATATATTGGCACAATATCCCAAAACATCAGTCGTTATACAGGTTCAGTATTACAGTTTCTACTCCCAGCAGTAAGATAAAAGAGCTGGTCACAGAAGGGTGGGGGTCAGAACCAAAAAAAGATTCGAAAAGTTAGTCTCATTTATGGAACTCTGGAATCAGAAATGCAGGATGAGTACCCTGTTACTAGTGGGAATTCAGTTTGATATTACTTCCTACTATATTTCTGGTCAGAATAAGACACAGGAGAGCTTTCTCACCTATGCTCTGACATCTGATCTTTTTGCCAACTCCATGAGCTAGCAATGAACGTATAAGGAGTGCAATATTATATTTAAGCATCCTGTTGCACTCTACACGATAAATGATACAAACTCCGTCCCAAGTGCAAACAATATATATTATATGTCTTTGATCTTGTTCTCTTCTACACTACATGTTTCGGCCTCTATCGGCCATCATCAGGTGTATACTCTTAACGTTGCTGCCACACTGAACCCAGTCTAAAATTTAACATTTAAAAACACATTGTTATTCTCTTCGTATTATCAACATCTACCTCGTTGATATGTGTCTGGTATGAGATTATATTGCACACGTCAAATTTGATTTTCCTGTAATAGCACTTTAAAATCTTTAGTTATGAT